AAAAAACATAAAAACTATCAAAAAGGTTGCCATCGGCAACAATTACCAAGGGCCGTCGTCTACTACGGACATGATCTTACCATATAACCCCTGTGATACTCATGCGTTGTCATTGCGGAGGTCTAACCTGTCATGATCCTTATACTGTAACTTCACTTTCTAATCTATTAGGTTGTTCGGAAAGTAATTTCGTTTTTTCCTAACTTAGGATTTAATTGTATTTTTTACACTTAACTTCACACTTAAGCCGTATAATTTTTATATGCTTTGATACCTCATTTAGCAAGGGTTGTGTGTGAAAAATTCCAATTAATTCTACGCAGTAGTTTTTGGTTGGTGCCCTTTTAAATATGGAGAGGAATAAGCAGCATTTTCGACATATCTTACTGTTTTACTACAGAAAGGGCAAAAATGCTGTTCAAGCCAGAAAGAAATTGACCGATGTGTGTGGAGAAGGTGTGTTAACAGTACACCAGTGCCAGAACTGGTTCGCAAAATTTCCATCCGGCATTTTGATGTCGAAGATGCACCACCCTCACCCTAGAGTGCAAAAAATACAATAAAATCCTAAGTTAGAAAAAAACGAAAAAACTTTCCGAACAACCATAACCGAAACACAGCTTACAAAGGAAGCTGCTTGGTGGCTGAAATAACTACCCACGCAGAAGACTTTACAGATTTATATATTGTTTAGAATTATGTACTACATGCATAAAAAACCTTATAAGTCAAGATATAATGACGCAACGTGAAGCAGCGTAAAAATCTCTCAATTTTCCTGCATGACTCACCGTCGACAATTTAAGGTGATTGGACACAATTGTATCTGACCACTGATAGCTATGAATATGTTCGTAGAGCGTCATGAATTGATTAATTATAATATTCGTACCAGATACATGAGTCTTCTCCATCAATTGGAAGTCCCAGTGATGACGAATGATTCACAGACTCTATCAGGACATTGTTTTTAGAGTTTGCATGAATAAATGTAAGAATGTACTCTTAATTAAACTGGTATGACAATTCTTTTTTGTCAAACGATAGAGATAAGTAATAAACCTGGACAATTAACACAGCGCCATCTAGTCCCACGGTAAGTAGAGCTTGTGTTGTGGGTACTAGGCTGATTCTGAACTGATATAAATACTTAGATATTTTGTTTGTAAATACACACATAATATTATACAGATGTAATAAACAAATAATCATAGAAAAATTAAATAAATTACCAAATTGTGAAACTAATAATAATAAAAGATATATTGTATAAAACTATTAGATAAAATCAATATCTATACAAATAAGTAAATAAAATTGGAGTGTCTGTTTGTAATATTGAAATAACTGTTTTTTAATATAAATACGGTACCTACATACACCAAAAAACATTTTTTCAATTTTTGTCTGTCTGTCTGTTTGTTCCGGCTAATCTCGGCTGGACCGATTTTGACGGGACAGTTTTTGCCAGGTAGCTGATGTAATAAGGAGTAACTTAAGCTAATTTTATTTTAGAAAAAAAGTTAAGTTCCACGCAGACGAAGTCGCGGGAACAGCTAATATATAATAAAAAAGTATTGAAAAGTACAAAATAAAGTCTTCTTTGTCTTTATCTTATCTTTTACATACACAATATACATATAAAACACCCAGACCGATACAAACAATCATACGCAATGAATACGAATGTTTGCACCGTGTGAGGAATTGAACCCGCGACCATCGTAAGTAAAGCGGTGTGCTAAACTGCTAAACCACAGAGGCCGTCAAATGTGTGTAATATTTTACAGAAAATTGTACAACTATAATTCATATCGTCATACCAATTACTGTAAAAAAAAAATAATAATAATAATAGTCCGGAACAGTTCGCGCAACGCTATCTAATCAAGCTAAGCAGACTGGCTGGACTAATTAATAGAATAGAATAATTATTCTATTCTATTTCGAAAGGATTGAATAGAGTGTTTTATACCTATGATGAAAATAAGCAACTAAAATTTGATCTCAGGTGTGATGATAAACTTCTCGTATTCTCTACAGTTCTCTCTGAATATCTCTATAACTTTATTAATTTATTAAACTCTATAATTTTGTTACTTCTTATGTTTTTTTTATTATTTATTTTAAGCTGTACTTACAATTTCATTGTCTGATGAAAAAAATATATATATTTTGCCTTATAACATTTTTATGACATCTAATTTATATTAGTGCATCACCAAAAATCTTTCTCTGCGCCATTCATGGTTGCCTGGTAGATAACGCCGCACGGTGTTAAGTCCGCCATATGTACACAGTATTTTTGTGTATAGAATATAGAGAATGATACTAGTAGAAATACGCCGATTTCAAATACTCAAGCAAAAACAAAACAATGAATATGACGAATCCGTGATAAATCTATGTGAATCAGATAAAGTTAAATATTATTCATGATATGCGTGTTTGAGTTTCATGCTTTCCAAACAATTGGAAGACAGGTGTATGTCATAATAGGGGAACACCCAACTAAACTAACTACATGTTTATTTAGTATTGAATACTACTACAAAAACTATTGTATAATTTTAATTCTATACTAGCTACCTATCACGGCTTCTCTCGAATATAATCATAATAGGGATCTCTAATTTTTATCGCCTAATATTAGAGTTGTCGGATTTTTTCTACCTATAAGGGGCAAAAGCTTAAATAGGCAAAAAATACGGGAATTTAGTTTTATACTTGGGACAAATTATTAAAAAAACAATTGTCTAGAGTAGATCGATCGATTTAATCATAAAGAAACGGAGCACGATTCGAATACGGGACAGAGTCAGTCCCGTCAGGACATTTTAAACTAAGCCTAAAATACGGGACGTCCTGGGAAATACGGGATATCTGGAATGCTACCCATGTTACTCTGATAATGTAGCTTTCTGAATGTGTAAGATTTTTTTTAAATCACTTATGATTTATTCGTGTTTCGCCATTACGATTAAAAAAATATGTTAGTTGTTTCTCGCGGTTTCACTCGCAGTTTGGTTTCATCGAAATGTGTCAACCCAGCATGTTGCTTTATACTGTACCACACCACCACCTGTCTTCGTTTTTGTTTCGCTCAGAAATATTTTTTTATCGCTTCATAATGGTGACCTTGAACCTTACACACATTCATTTTTTGGTCTATAAATATTGAAACGAAATTCCAAACCAACTGAACTTACATTCAAATATTGTTATATTTGAAATGATGAAAGTCTTATTTGTAAAATAAATATCCTAAATAATTAAAAACGCTAAGGTTATTATACGCAGAAAAGTCGAGGGCACAATGGGCTATAAACTGCAAAAATATCTCTTCCAAACCAAAGCAAATAAAATCTGACTTACTAAAATTAACGCATTCAAACAGTCAAATGCTTCAGCTCTATATTTGAATGAAACAGCTACGCAAATGGAATTTAACTTACTACACTATCGCCATTTGCAAATATTTACAGTTGCTTGCTCAACTCACATGTTTGGACAATGAGTGACCTAATGGTGGACACAATGAACATTCACACGCAAAAATATATTTCACATGCTTAATATATTAATGAAGTAACACAAAAATTACAAATTATTGGAAATAGACTTTAACGTTAAGACTTTTAGAGTAGATTTCCTATATTTTTTATATAATCTAGTAGGTAATTAAATATGAGAATGTTGGTAATTCTGTGTTTATCATAAGTATTCATGAAACTGAAACCCTTTCACAAAGAGATAATGGGTAAATATAATAATAGTAATATTACTGGATATTATACAAAGTGCTATATAGTCCCTAGCTAAGCCGACCTTGTGTTATGGGTACTAGACAACTGATAGAAATGCAACAATATTTTATTTTTGGAAATACATTAATAAAATACGTAGAATATTTTATACGTATTTTATGAATGTCAATCAATACAATCGTACTCGTGAATACAAATGTGTGTATCGTGCCAAGAATCGAACTCCGTATTAATATAATAATTAGCTGTACCCGCGACTTCGTTCGCGTGGAATTTAACTTTATTTTTCCAAAATAAAAGTAGTCAAAGTCACTCCTTATTAGTAGCTGTTGAGCTATCTGCCAATAAAAGTCCCGTCAAAATCGGCCCAGCCATTTCAGAGATTTTCCGGAATAAACAGACAGACAGACAAAATTGTAAAAAATATTATTTTGTAGGTACCGTATTTATATTCATATGCATGTAGTAAAAAACGGTTATTTCAATATTAGAAACAGACACTCTAATTTTATTTATATGTATAGATTAACCGACAGTATTGGAAGCAAAGTGTGCTAATCATCTGAACAACCGAGGCCGTAAAAATATTTCAAAATTAATTTTGAACTTTTTACGCATGCCCGCTCAGTTTCTGTGTAGTTTTATTGTTTTTTTTATGAATGTTGGTCAGATTCATGTGCTATCACTGGCTTTGGGATTGCATCTCGGATGCTGTCCATGTATAATTGTATATGGGCTATATTTGTCACTTACTCATGAACGAGTGCTACTTGGGTAACGAGTGCTAGGGACTGGTCTGCTCTAATCACTACGACTGATTTAATTGTATTATTAATGTATTTATATTTGACCCTAATAAATTAATGCTAGTTGGTAGTTTGTATTCACACGTTTGACTTGAAAAATGTAAACTTACAACGATTATTTAAAAGAGCAACACACAAGTTTCTTGCTCATTCTTCTTGTGATGAGACAGCTTTCCGAACGAGCGGTAGATTAAAAAAAATGTTATGGCTATTCAAAAGTGCTTAAATTAAGTTTATTTGAATAAAGGATTTTCTATTATATTCTATTTTATACTTACGGCGAGATGGACTGTCAGCTTGTTTGCTAAATCGCATTATCATTTTCTATCCCCCAGATCCACAGAAAAATAATTCCCTCCTCCCACTCCCAAGTGTAGCGAACCACAGTTTTAAAAAGGCTGTCTAAAAACCTGTTCTATTGTTCCAGTACGACAAAGACAACGATGGCAAGATATCATACATCGAACTCAAAGCGATCATAGACTCGAGAGAGTACGAGGACGACTTACCCCCAAATGTGGTACAGAAGATCATGAACCTGGCCGACCGGGACAACTCCGGGTATCTAGACTTCAATGAGTTCGTCGAAATGATGCACAACCCGGACTTGAAGAATATATTTGGCCATTTCGTGGCCAGATATGTCCACTCTATTATACCGCAGCGGAATCCCGTGGACACTACAGGTAAAGAATATTTTCCAACATTTGATTACATTCTGAAAGGATTTCGTTGCCTGCGTTACGTTGCGAACGTATGCGGTGCGTTATTTCTTTTATAATGGTGAATCGCAAATCCAAAATAAATATATATATGATAATATAAGTCAACGTAAATATTTATTTTATTTAAGGACGTTCATATGAAGCGTAGCATGTAGCATAAACTACATAATTTTCTATATTTTTTATTTTTTCCCGAAAATAAATAGGTTCGGGAAATAATATAGCAAGCGTCGAGACCTTAATATTACATTTTATTTTTCATGATTAATTCTTTTATAAGAGTAACAATATTTAATAGTCTTTATACGAAAATACAATCAAACCAAATTAAAAATCACCAATTTATATGTGATACGAAATTAAAGCTAAATTATAAAGTTTTGTAAACATTACTGTCAGCGTCGTACTACACCAGGCGTCTGAGCGCAACCGATGGCGACAGCTGGTCGACAAGATACTGTAGAGTCGCGATCCTCAGTAGTGAGAGAACGATTAAGAAGAGATAAAGTTGTGTAGAATCAAACCAATAAAATTGAATATAGTGGTGGCTTCGCTCTCTGTCACGTTAAACTCAAGCATACTCACAAAAATGTGGCTATAACATAACACTTGAAGCGTTCAAGACAGTTGATAATACATATATTTATCCCATATAGGTTTACTAAGATGTATATTACTTTACATATATAACAAATTGGCCATAATGTATAAAAGGAGAAATTAATTTTAGTAACGTTAAATTGTTCAAAAACCTTCATCGTAATCATTACATAGAATAAAACAAAGTCGCTGTCGCTGTCTGTCCGTCCCTATGTATGCTTAAATCTTTAAAACTACGCAACGGATTTTGTAGCGGTTTTTTTAAATAGATAGAGCGATTCAAGAGGAAGGTTTATATGTACAAGCGTGCGAATCCGGGGTAGGTAGCTAGTAAGCAAAGGCATATTACAGCACTAGTGTGTTGTAGACTTGTTTACATTTCTTCAGTCTCCATCCAATTCTGTATTTCAACTTATGTGTACAGCGTAACAACAGCAGAATCACAGTACAGTGCAACAGCAGAATCTTTCGCATTTATTATATTAATCAACTCATTATATTAGTCAAGGTTGATGTACTATCGCAGTCTAATCTGTCACACTGTAGCATATTTTATATACATATATGTGTATATATATACGTGAGTCACTATCTATTCGCAAACAGGCCATAATCAATTTGGGTTCTTTCCTTGTTTGAATGAATCAGAGACTTGGAGACAGTCAGACTCGTTGTCTAGATTATTTATATATAATTATTATTTATGACTGCCTGTCTCTTTGTTGCCTTTGATGGCTGAATGGATCTTAATGAAATTTAACAGGAAGATAGGTGGTATAGTTATTAAATTTTTTAATCTATATTAATAACTAGCTATGCCTGCGGTTTCACCGCATGAAATTTATAGCCTATGAGTTATGCTGACGTTATAAGCTATATTACTGTTAAGTTTTATCAAAATCTGTTCAGTTGTTGATACATTGATAAAACTTAGATGTTTCTTACATCTACAACTGTCCACAATTGGTTGTGCTGTTTATAAGGTTTGGTTTGGTTGTATTTTCGTGTTTTTTAAGTAATAAGATTTAGGATTATTATTGTTTATTTTTTATTTGATTATTTTAATAATGCAAAATAAGTAAAGTTCTATAAAATACTTTTGTATGAATTTAATGTAGAACTATGATGAACCTAGGACGGTATAAGGCACTCCTAAATATAATGTGGTATTATGGATTTCTACTACTGATATTAATTAATATTTATACTAATAGTTTTATAATGTTTTAATGAAACAATAATAAGCATCTCATGACATTGTTATCAAAGCAGGCATGAGTAATAAAAATTATAATTTGTAAACAATGACTCAAATACTCGAATATGTTAATATTACCTAACATGAGGGATTTACAATTTTAAATATTAAAAAATATATAGCAAACCAATTGCGTAGAAATAAATATAATAATAATACCCATCCTCTCGGCTATGCCATAGTACGGCAATTGGGATAAGCAGAGACTGGGATATCAAATTCTCCTATTCATATATACCATACATTCCTCTATATTTCTCTATCTATTTCTACAATTTTTATTACTTACGTACTTTTAGACTTTGCAAGATTTCGCCTAACTGCTGGTCCACTTTGGAAACTAATTTCAATACAATGACACTGTATTAGAAAGAACGAAAAAAAAGAAAGATTACACCGTTTAGCATCATTTTACTTCCCTTCCGATCCCCTGTCCGATTCAAACGGAGATCGAAATTACGAAGACCTAAGCAGAGTTTCGAACTCCTAGCGGTGTTTTCAGGCTGAAGTCGTATCAGGCGGGAGTTGGCCTTCAGCCTCTCCATAAGTCCTTCCGCGGTTTGGAGTGTCATCTACGCTCGCTCCCTATCGTACAGTGAAGCTGTAAAGCCCAGCTGCGGCCAACAGCATTAGAGTAGTTTGAAAAAATACCATTTTGCTCATTCTCTTTAATTATATCTACCTTATTAATTCCATATTTTCTGCAATCAACGAAATAATCTATTTAGTGTTAATAACATTTCAAAAGAAATTGTACACAAATCCAATACACTGTGGATTAAAATGTACATTGAAATTAGACAGAGTAGACCTGCAGTTCGACGGCTATAGAATAAATATTATTGCTCAATTTCTAAATAACTTACTACCTTATTCATAAAAACTAAAATTCCTCACATATACATTTTAAATATTGCAATGTTTTGTCATCTTTCAATTAAGAGTATGCTTCGTAAGAAGTACAAAGGTTTTTAATAAATAAAATAGGTTTGTAAGGCGTTTGATGTTTTTATTAATAAGGTAGCAATAATGCTATGCATTTGATTGAAGCATGCATTTCTGCTAGAATGAGCATGCTCGCATTGTTACAATAACAAGTACCTTACGTGATAACCGGTTATCAACGCAATTATAAATATATTAAATCAAAACAACTTATATTTATCACTAATATGAATTAATTATTCAACTGTAATTAACAACAACTTTAATTGTATTATTCAGACAATAGTATTTATATAATTATTAAATTAACGAGAAATGAGTTATGAAATAAGATTAATTGAGTAATAAAAAACAAGAATGCAGAACTCACTCTAAGGATAATATGGTTTGAAGTTAGAATTAAACAGATTACATTCTGAATGTAAAGAATGAGAGCGTTGAGGTCTAAAATTAAAAAAAAAATATGTTAACTTATGTTTCTGATTGACTATCGATGATGGAAATGACGATAACAAAACAAATTAATCCGCGCGAGGTAGGACTGGTTCTCATCTTATGTTTTAAGCAAGCCAGCCTACCCCTATCACCAGTTAACTGTAAAAATATCACCAATGCTCTAAAATAATGTGTTAATTGTTCAATTTACATTACTGTTTATCTATTTTTACCGCAAGGCTGGTTGCATATAAAAGGTACGTGCTTACAACCTCTGTAGGTGCTATTGTTACCAAATAATTAATAATCATTATAATATAATAAATAACGTGGAAAAATATACATAAAACAGTTCACGACATATGTTTGTATACAGTTTGAATATTAAAAAATAAAAATTATGAAAATGTTTTGCTGACATTTCCATAAAATCCTTGCTCACTTGACACCCCTAGTAAAAAATATACTTAAATTGTGATGATTCGAAAACATTTCGTACGTTATACATATGTACATTTCATTTTAAAACAACTGATGGAACTAGAATTAGATTTCCACGTGTTTCTACACAGTTAAAATATCAAATAATTATGTATAAAATATAAAAAAAGGACATGAAATGTACTTAATAATCAGGAGGTATAAGGTCTATTTTTATTTAACATCAAATTGTTATTATCTATACATCAAAATCAAATGGTTCCTGTAATTACTATAAGATCGTTATTTTATCGAATCTTGAAACTTTCAACAATCTGTACTAATTTATAAAATTGTGAATTGTAAATCGATATTTTTATCTTTAGAGTAGTGTAGTTGTAGTGTAAATATAAAATATGTGTGTAATTAATTTAGACGGCAAGACGGAGCTGACATGCTCACTATTGTGATCCTAAGCTCCTAAGTAACTAAAGAAAAAAAAAGAATTGCCTTACCCCATAAGGAGTGGTCTATGAATAAAACCTAAATAACTAAAGGGAAAAAAGAAGTGCCTTACCCCATAAGGAGTGGTCTATGAATAAAACCTAAATAACTAAAGGTAAAAAAGAAATGCCTTACCCCATAAGGAGTGGTCTATGAATAAAACCTAAATAACTAAAGGGAAAAAAGAAATGCCTTACCCCATAAGGAGTGGTATATGAATAAAACCTAAATAACTAAAGGTAAAAAAGAAATGCCTTACCCCATGAGGAGTGATCTATGAATAAAACCTAAATAATTAAAGAGAAAAAAGAAATCCCTTACCTCGTAAGGCGTGGTCTATGAATAAAGCCTATGACTCAATAAACTGTTATTTGTCTGTCAAAAATATCTTACCCGAGTTAGTTACATTCAACACTATATAGTTAGTTTATCTTATCTTCAACATAGTATAAAACAATACACCGCCACCGCTGTTTGGTCGCTTATATCTTTTAAATTACGCAACGGATTTTAATGCAGTTTTCAGCGATAAATAGAATGATTCAAAAGGAAGGTTTATATGTAGAATACATGCGTGTTATTGTATTGAACAAACTGAGAAATTCAAAGATTTGTTGGAGCCGTGAAACATATATAAGATGATATGATGATGAGAATGATGATATTTAAGTTTATTTGTCTGTACAAATAAATAAAACTGAAGTATCTGTAATATCAAATTAATATGAAAGTATATACGGTAATTAAACGATAAAAAAAATTGTCTGTCTATTCTATTTGTTATTGCTAATCTGTGAAACGGCTAGACCGATTTTGTCAGGACTTTTGTCCCGCAAACGACTCGCATATAACTAGCTAATGTTATAAAAAATATTGTTATGCTTTATTTTAATAAAAAAATAAGTTCAATTCCACGCAAACAAAGTCGCGGGTAAAAGTTAGTCTAAAAAAATCAAATGTTTTGTAACAGTCGTTAGAAGCACACCGCACACTGAAAATTAATAGTTGTATAAAACAACTTTTAATTTTCAGTGTGCGGTGGACCTATTAGAGCACAGTAAGCTTGCTAACTAGTGCTAAGTGGGGCATGTCACACAAAATTTTGTGTTTCGCGAAAACAACGCTGGCATCCGTTATGTGACTCACATACAACAATCCGATATGTACTTGTATGACCAGAATTTATAAAACAACATATTACGTCTTTTATTTTCAATCTAATAATGTAGATCAGGGGTGAGCAACCTTTTAAAATAACGGACTAATTTAAATTTAATTTTTTTTTGCGGGACGCACATTAAGTAATAATAAAATACCTATTTATAATGTACAAAACTTTATTTATACTTAACTTTATAAATATTAGAATAAAAATATTAAAAATATACAAATTTTAATGCAAACGTTCTATTGAACGTTCAAACAAGGCGCCGACAAGTGAGTAACCCGTCACAAAATTGATTCAATTCTTGTTCAAGTACAATCAAAATTAATATTCGTTAAACAATTTATTCGGTGTATATTATGTACTAACCATATTATTATAATTAATTTTATAACAATGTATTAATGGGAAAAAGTAATAATAATAATAATCTCAGGAAATGCTTGGCGGACCTTGTAAACACATTTTATGGGCCACGTGTTGCTCATCCCTGGTGTAGATCAACTTCTCACCTGTTAGTAGGGATGCCACCCGTACTTTATCTTAAAGAATTGTACATTATTTCAGGTAATTGGTACTGACTAAATCGATACTATCCATTATTTATTTTAATTTAAATGTAGACTGTAAAGATGCCTTTCAAATATTTAGTAGAGATACTAATTTGATACAAACTGCAAAAAGCAATAAACAATATGTTTTTAAATATAATAATAAAGATAAAGCAATTGGACTTTATTTTGATAATATGTACTTTTTTTTCTTACCTGTAATAACCACTTTACTTTAACTGCAAAAGAAGGTGGCAATCCTACCTGTTAGCCCAGATTGGATAGTCAAGATGTTTATACACTGTCAACGACCCAGCTCCTGACATGCCCATGTTAAATGAAGGGTATATTGATTGATAGATATGTACATCTAAAGTTTTGATTCCTTTATTTATAATTACCTAACTACCCGCCCCGGCTTTGCACGGGTGTACATGTATTATACATATAAACCTTCCTCTCGAATCACTCGTATCTATTTAAAAAAACCGCTTCGAAATGCGCTGCATAGTTTTAAAGATTTAAGCAATACATAGGAACAGACAGACACAGCTATTTTGTTTTATACTATGTAATTTTTACCTACCTACCCGTCCCGGCTTCGCACGGGTGGTACATGTATTATACATCTAGAATCACTCTGGCATTGCTCTAAACTGCATTAAAATCCGTTGCGTAGTTTAAAAGGTAAAAAACAGCATAAGTCACGACTTTTATATGGAATATCTTACGTTATTGCGTACGTAATATGTTATATTTTACATTTTACAAAACTTTTAAAACAATTAAAGAACGCCGTAATCAAACAATTTAAACAAACAAATAACAAATCTGTTTCATTACACGAAGAATCATTTTTATTTGGTTGGCTATTGTAATTAATTGGCTACGAAGCTAATTAATTTGTTTATATGTGTTGAAAAGTTGACACGAGGTGTATGTGTGCGTGAGGGAGATAGTGCCTTTCTAAGTAATTTCTTATCACTATCTTTCTACCTACTTCTTCTTTATTCTATTATGTGCGTGTAGCCGCCCCAACGGTGTTAAATTAATAAAAAAATTAAGATTATTTAAAAATGGTTTGCAAATACAGATCAAATGTTTCTGGTAAGACACTGATTCACATCGTGTAGATTTTTTTTTATTTATTTTAAAATATAGGAACTTTGATGCATGATAAAAGTACATGCCAGTTCCATTCTACCCTAAAACTAATTACTCCATTACCTCACCAGTGCACAAATTGGCTTAGCCGCACTATATGTAATGTAGATTTACCTCCTCCCATATTTATCTTAATGTATAAATATTTAATGCCACTTTGTCCGCAATGGGATTCCAATCTATGGAACCTATTTTTATAAAATTTTATATATAACTTGATAGGTCCGAAAATGCGGTGACCCACCGCAAAAATATCTTTATTTTTATGACATAGTTTTTTATTCTATTATTTTTAAAATCCGGATTTAAAAATATATATTTATTTATGTAACTTATAATCTTACCGTTCTACAATCAACCCCTATTTTTTAATAACGATATTAATTTATATGGCAGAACAACGTTTGCCGGGACAGCTAGTATGCCTTTTCCCATTACTGCCCTTCAACCGCTTTCTGTTTTTACCCAATGGTTAACTGGTAGAGAATGCCATATGGCATTAAGCTCGCCAATTGTATATTTATTTTAAATAGTGTAATATATAATAAATAAATGAATTATAATTATATATAATAATAGATGAAACATATTTTCAACTATGTCAAGTGTTACATTCACTAAAATGTTGATAGTTAACAATACCTCTGACTGTCTTATCTATAAGTAAAATATTTATTCTTTCCTATCCTAATCTCGCATGTTAATGAATTGATATTTTAGTGCTTCAATTATAATAACTTTGTATATTTTATAAATATTTGCTTTGTGTGAATTATTAGTATTGTAAATATTTGTAAATAAGTTTCACTTAGTATTAGAATGTTTATTTGCTTTTGATTTAGATTAATTATAGCAAATCTTGTACGTTTACTTTACAACTAGTTATTACCCAAGGTTTTGTCTGTCTTTCATCCCCTATTTAAGTCCCTCGTCTTGTTTTTCACATAAGAGATAATCTAAATCATTACATATCTTCATGACAAATTTTAATAAGATACATTTAGTCGTGACAAAGTAACAGACAGAGAAACACTCGGCATATATAATATTAGTACGGAAAGATATAGTATACATTTATTACCTCTATTTTACCCCGTCCCTGATATTCTTTTGACAATTTTTTTTATAAATATATGTATATACACTATATTTCGTATATATTGTTATCTCAAAACAATATCTGGGACGCAGTGAATTAGATGATGAAAGTTTGTTCAAACATGGTCTTGGGTAACTGTTGGTAATAAAGTAAAGATATAATATCCTTTGCTATATGCGTATGCTACAAGCTTCAGTTGTAAATATATATATTATTTTTTAATAAGCACTGTATTTTGTTCTTTTGTATAGTATTAATGAACTTTGTATATGTAATAATATTAACACAACCACTAATTTTCACCTCTAGACACGTGGACAGGGTTCCGACCGGTGCCGACGCGGGATAGCGGTAGTTTATCTTTTTTTTTACTATATATGTGTCATCCAGCTTGTCTCATTTCGATTCGCTTCTTCGACACAGTGTAAAAGTTTACAGTAGGTCAAGTCATTATAAATTGCCGTAATGAAACGTAAAGGTCTATATTACTTTGATAAGCGAAGGGTGTAGTGACTATATCCTATTAAATTATTTATGTATATGTCCTGAAGTCCTTACATACATATATTAAAAATATATGTATATAAAAGCCATCAAAAATTTCGACGAGAACAGTCGAAATATAAACTGTATTATGTTTATTAACTTTGTTTTTCGATAAATAATTTAACTCATCAGTACTAATTTAATTATAATGTTATATCAATTTATTTATGAATTATCATTAAATTAATATTTATTTATTATAATCTAATGACTTAGGTCAGCGTACTGAATATTAGAGACCAAATTTATTGGACCATTATGTGTAGTTTATTTTAAGTTGACCTACTGCATTCGCTTCACTGTGTACGCATCTCGTTCGCTGTTTCATGAGATTCATCATCTGACATTAATTTACTAAAGAACATTGGATCATTATTGATTCTTTCATTAATACCATCTTGTGTTACTCAACATTTCTAATCAATATTTAGGTATGATTTATCGACTCGATCAGGTATGAGTACATCCTTGCCTGTTTGTTTTGTGATTCAGTACTTCTATACTCACCTGTAGTTTAGGTTTTGATGATCATTTGTATGAACAGTACTTCTGTACTCATCCTATAGAGCTAATTTTGATGAAACTTTGTCTCTGATGACACACGAAAATAGTTTGTAAAGTAATATAAATAAATATTAAATTGGTTATAGATCTACATCAAAATTACACGGCAAATGAAAATCACTTATGCAAGTCGAGTTTTGTTTATATATTTTATACCACGATGGTAAACGATTACCGTAGCCTATGGACGCCTGAAATGCCAGGTGTGTCACTTGCGCGTTGTTTTTCTCTACCGTCAGGTAGATATCATGAATATCAGCTTTGTTTAGGTCTTTACAACGAACCCTATTTGAATTATGCTGTAGTTTAATAATAATACCCCCAGGACAATTCACTAAAAAAATAATAATAAATAAATAATCCTGGACAATTAACACAACGCCATCTACTTCCAAGGTAAGCAGAGCTTGTGTTATGAGTAGGTAGACAACTGATATAATACTGAATTTTTTTTTTTTAATATATATATATATATATAGAAAACACCCAGATTGATACAAACAATCATATTCATGAATACAAATGTTTGTACTCAGCGAGGAATCGAAACGCGACCATCAAAACTAAAGCACTGTGTTAAACCGTTAGACCACCGAGGCTATTTTACTGCTACAAATAATACCGAATACTATGAACGAACTCTGAATATGCTAAGATTTTTTTTATATTAAAATAACCATACGGAGAAAAATGTTAGAGCACTTGATACGACACGACCAACTAATTAACAACATTATTGAAGGAAAAATAGATGGAAAGAGAGGAAGGGGAAGTCCAAGACATAGCTATATCAAGCAAGTTAAAGAAAAAGTTGGAGTCGTGTCGTATCAACAGCTAAAATGACTGATAGAAGATCGTGGAAGGAGGCGGGAGCTCCACCAACCACAGCTCTTAAATTATGTATGAATGAACCGTACAAGTGTAATGGTTGTGTAAGATTGAACCCACTACCATCTAGGGCCACCGCGGCAGTCTATCAATAGTAAAATAAAAGAAAAAGATGTTTATGCAATAAAAATAGTTGCTTTGTTATCCACTACTACGTGACTATGTTCTGAATACCCCACATGGCCGTTTTTCGAAATTCTTTGTTTAATATTGTTATTGTTTGTTTCTTTGTTATACACAGAACTAATACATTGTTATGTTTATTCCTTGGTATTTATAATAAATTATTTGTTAGCGATTGTTATCACGCGATAGATACAAATGTATATAACTAATTAACATAGATAAATGTTTTTTTTTATTTTGATGATATCAATGGTGGAACGGTTTAGCATTTTCGGTTTTAATATTTTATTTCTTTATTGCAGTGTCACAAAATATAAAACATATGGAGTATGTTTAAGTTTTTATGATTATTTTGTATCGCCCTGAAAGTAAAATTCATAAACTTCAATGCCCTTAAAGAGTATTCATTTAATTAAGATTTTTTTAGTAATATATTATTCTTAAAGTTAATGAAATTAATTATAGACACAGATTACACATAGAAAAATATAAATAATAATAACAAAAATACAAAAATTACATTAGCATACTGTCTTACTTTTTTATAGTCGCAAGTTCGTGAAACATTTATATGAATGTAAATGTTTTTATTAAGAACGAACTGCGTTGATTGCATTGGTGTGATTGTTTTTCTATGCGTATATAATTACAAAAAAATTTTTAAATATTTTAGTGCCTACATAACGATACTGACGTGAATGTAGAATTATTTATCTATACATATAAATAAAATTGGAGTGTCTGTTTGTAATATTGAAATAAACGTTTTTTTACTACATTCATATGAATATAAATACTGTATATACACCAAAATGACATTTTTTACAATATTTGTCTGTCTGTCTGTTTGTTCCGGCTAATCTCTGAAATGGTTGGACCGTTTTTGATGGGACTTCTTTTGGCAGGTAGCTGATGTAATAAGGAGTAACTTACTACTTTTGTTTTAGAAAAATAAAGTTAAATTCCACGCGGACGAAGTCGCGAGTACTACTAGTCTAGTATATAGTACAAGCTTTTCTCAAATTGATACTAGACCACACACTGATCTAATACGTCAAGAGATGTTTTTTTTAATATTTATGGTATATCTGAAAGCAAAGACTAACAAGTCTCGAGAGCTGTATTTTTATTTTTTTTACGACCGAATGTAATAATCGCCAAGCCCAATTGTCGCCTATGGACATGAATACCATAAACAATTTGTATTTGGGTAATCTACATATAGATGTTTAAGTAATAGCTACTTAGGTAATGGTATAGTTTGTTTGGAATTATATTAATGTATTATTTGTATTATCTTGTATTTTATTATCTAATCTATTTATTTAACCTTGATTACTATCACTGATACGTTTGTAATTTTCACGCTGTCTATCACTCCTAATATATAAAATTCTCGTGTCACAGTGTTAGTAACACTCTCCCGAAATAAGTCGATCGATTCGTATGAAATTTTGTTATTCAGTAGGTCTGAGAATAAGACGTAAGCTATTCTATATATACCTAAGTGATAAGCATAGTCCATCCCATTTGTTTTTTATTTATTTATTTATTAGTTACCAACGGCGTTACAATCTGATTTACATTTATGTGTTGTAATATTAAATGTTTCATTTAACTCGCACACATTTTATTGGATTGCGATAAAACAAAATCAAACAAATAGGAAATGAGTGAATGAATGAGTGTGGAAGTTATACATATCCATGTAATGTATAATATATATATTTAGTTATTATTATAATATATATATAATTTTCACCCTTCTATCAATCACCCCTGTTTTTAGTAGCGATATTAAAGAAAGGTTAGCTTTCTTGTGTTGTTGAGCTGTTTCGTGGGTGTCAGTATGACCGTATAGTTCATGGATATAATATTATATAAGGCTCGGTGAGAATCGAAAAAAAAATCGGTGAGTGAGAAAAAAGAGAAAAAAAGATCAATCGGTGGTTGGTGGGTAAAATACGAATATATGTATAATAATAATAACTCACTACAATTCTCGCAGCGCCATCTAGTCCCAAGATAAGCAGAGCTTGTGTTATTGGTACTAGGTAACTGATATAAATATATACATATTTTTTTTGTAAATTAATACATACATGATATACATATGTAGGTAACGCCCACTCTATACATATAAATAAAATTGGAGTGTCCGTTTGTAATATTGAAATAATATTATTACTACATATATATTTTTTACTACATGCGTATGAATATAAATACGGTACATACACCAAAATAACATTTTTTACAACGTTTGTCTGTCTGTCTGTTTGTCCCGGTAAATCTATGAAACGGCTGGACCGATTTTGACGGGACTTTTATTGACAGATAGCTGATGTAATAAGTAATAACATAGGCTACTTTTATTTTAGAAAAATAAAATTAAATTACACGCGGACGAAGTGGCGAGTACAGCTAGTTAAAAATAAAATCATAGTCATTTTTGTACTGTGCGATGAATCGAACCCGCGACCATCGAGGAAGTAAAGCGGCGTCCTACAATCTGTTTATCAGTATGGGTGTGTTGTATTATGTATGTAACTACAACAAAATGTATTAAAATATTTGTATCAGTTGTTTAGTACTCATAACACAAGCTCCGCTGAGCTTGGTACTAGTTGCTGTTGTATGAATAGTTATTATTTATAATGCCAAATATTTATTTATTTCCTAGAGATCAATAAAAGCAGCATCGAATTTAACAGATGCATTCTTATCCAAGATGTGTTAACACAAGTCAATGCGAATAATACCATTGTTGGTGCATCAAAGTACACGCAAACGGATCATGTCACATGTGGGTAACAGCGATCTTAAAATGTTTTAGATGTTACTTAGATAGATAGATAGAATATATAATATGAATTCTTTCTTTTCGGACTACTGTAATGCTGTCGGCCGCAGCTGGCCTATACAGCTTCCTGCAGCTTTATGATTAGCCAGATGAGCACGAACCTATTCGGCGGACGTTTGGTGATGGTGAACGTACACAAGCACACATAACTGTTTCATATAGTACAAACAGTGTGATTAAAGCATGTTTAAAATAAACCCTATGCCTATTGAAATAGGCCCTGATTACCATATCAGAGTCCGGTTGATTCTTAGTCACATACAAGTCAAGTTTTTTGTATTCATATTGTTTTCCCTGTCATCTATAGGCACCACACTACAGATAATTGACGTGACTGTTGCAACTAATACATATAATCTGTAGCTTATTGAGTTCAAGATGTAATTGTTACTCACCACTGTAAATTTGCTCTATTCATTTTGACAGGCACCATTTCGATTTGTTTATGTCTAACTAGGATGGTTATTACATGATTTAGTATCAGTTGTTTAGTACATATAGCATAGACTCTACTTACCTTGGGACTAGATGGCGCTGTGTGAATTGTCCAGAGATATTATTAGATTATTAATATCACTAATAGTTATATAGTGCGACGGTTATCACTTCACCACTGTAGCGTTATATATGATGTGATGAGGTGTCGCAATATATTTGTTTATTGCAGTACTTAGATAGTGAGTAGACAGGTAGAATAATTGTACTATTTATTGGACGTTACTAAGTTTATTAGTTAATGTGCTGCATGACTTTGTAACGCGTTCATTCGACGCAGAGTCGGGACGTAGAGTAACTTTACACTGAAGTAAATTTATATAATGTGGAGACGTAAACTAATGGAAGGGTCTCAAGTGTGGACAGAAATATTACAAGTGTCCGCACAGTTATATGACATTCTCATATTGTTACTGTGAGAACATAAGTAGTTCTAGTACTCAGTGCCCAACCGATATATTGTGTTCAGAAACATTATACAACCTCTTCCGTTGCATTAACTGCTCTGTAATTCGTCTATAAACGCATCCTACATTGAATCATACATATATGACGTAACAAACACATTCTCCCGCTGCAGGTCTGCGAGGATCTCAAAACTCGCAGAGAGGTTTCCCATAGTCTAATAATGACCAGTGCTGGACGCACGTTCACCGTGTGTAAATCAACCTTGATACGCGTATTTATTTATATTATTATTTTCTACAATATATAAATGATATAGATGTGTAGATACAAAATTGTTTCTATTATTTGGAATGTAGAATCCATCAGAAAAATGTTACAGCATAGACAAACCAATAATGATTTCTAAATGTGTTTTTAATTGCCTTCAAATATTGACGACCTCTTTGGATAAAAAACGATGTTATCCAGAACACATAAATGGACTAGTGTTTTTTTTAAATTGGCGGATAAGACTGAGTGTATGCAAATATGTTATAAACTTTCAAGATACAAAAAGAAGGTCGTCGAATACTTGGGTATGTTTAACTTTATCTCATCTTAGGGGTCATCTCGTAATCGTTATTTTGTTATCCAACATTTGTGTTTCGTGTTGTTTCAACGCAAGTTCATTTAGTCTAATTGTCTATTGATTATAATCTGATTGTCCCTATGATGTATGTGCATGGATCGTTTGTTAAATCCAAGGTGGCAGGTTCAAGGTTGTGGTTAATAATATACGTGCTTGAATAATATAAGGTCATATAGTAATTGGTTGACTACTATCTATTTCTGCATATATATAATACGTATAAATGCATAATCAGTGTATTCATTTTAATGAAATTTCTAGATAAATTAAATTACATATCGTTTTAAAGATGATAACAAAAAATATCTTCGATTAACTGTTGCTAAGATTACTGCATTATCTATATGCATAAGAGGATATAAATTTATATATATATAAAATTTAAATGAACCAATATAGATTATGTATATATGTAATAATACTAGTAAATGATATATACTCATGACTAGTTCGCTATAACAATTGTATAATAAGAATATAATATAACAAACAAATAAATTAATAATACATTGCATTCTACATCTTGTATTGTTTATAATAAAACAATGTTTTTGAAAATGATTATTTGATAAACCGGTTTTACCCGCCTGTAATTGAGTTTTTCCTTAATGTCCTTCTTTCTAAAAAAACTTAATTAACCGTATAAAATCGGTTTCATTGGAGTTAAGGCAACTTAAAATAAAAATAATAAGTATTAATTTTGAAAATTATTCCTACAGATGCAAAAAATACAGGTTTCAAGGAAAATCATAGCAATCCTCTAAAATAGTTTGCTTGCGTTATATAGGTTATGCATATTGATAAAACGTAATGGCACTTAACTCAAAAGGTATAAATTTTGGAAAATCGATTCTCATGCTTTCATTATAAAACCTATTATCCAAAATTTGTCTTTTTTGAACCGTTATTACGTTATTTAGTGTAAGAATTGTTTTATCACAGTATGATGTAGCACACACGATATACTCGTATATCCTGCATTCAGTTGGATATAACACGTATGTACGGGATAATGTACCTCATCCAAAATATTACAATAATGCCTCATTACAATATTGTAATTTGTTTAGCATTTAAGGCACTAAGGTATACACCCTTTCAGATTGCCTAAGTAAATTTAGTGTGAAAAGTAATCACAAATTATCGTTATTTATTCGGATAAAATACGCATTTTTTTCCAAGTCTACTTCTTTTTCTAAAACTTCTTTCTCTTCTTCGTAGACTATTTTAGAATATTGCAATGGTTTCCTTGAAAATGCTTTCGTAAATCCTAACATAGTATTTATATTTGCATGCATATGACTAATGACTTTTTTCTTCTCGTCTCTTCCTATTCTTGTTTTGTGTTTGTCCAAATTCCTTATTCCTACATGATGTATTACCTATTTACTCAAATCGGTCCCTATCGTTCAATTATCTTGAATTTTTGATTTGGAAATGACCCCGTAATTGGTAATTGTGTCCTGTACCCGTTGTCATTGTCGTGCCACTCTTATACCGCGTGATCTATTTCTGACCTGTGGCTATTTATAACATTCTATAAAAAAAAAAATTGCCTTGTCCAATCCTGTATTGATGAATTGATATATTTTCATAATTATAATCGTGTTCGCATTATTTATAATATATGAACATGTTTGCCGAATTGATAACAAAAAAAAATGTGCAACTCTTATTTTTGTGAAATGTTCATTTCCAACGTACAAACTGTTTGTGTTTATTATTATATTTAATTGTAATGAATAAATTCACAAAATATTACTATGATGTTATAATAATCCCATGATTATATAATAAAATAAAAAATCACAATATTATCCAACAAAATCGCTCTCTAATGTAAAATTTGCCACAAACATTATTGATAATAATATTGTTTTTATAAAAATAATAAATTAAAATTAAACACTAATTAATTAAATATTAATCAATCACTAATAAATATAACAACACTGTACTGCAAACACAAAAATAAATAAAAAAAAATTTACCTTCCCCGTTCCCTGCCTTTTCGCCTATTGTGTTGTCATATCAGCCCAACCCCGTAGCACGACCATCTTCACATACACAGACGGCACATACGAGGAGCAGTACACCTGCTGGCCACCAGCTGTCTGCATGATCTTCATATCCATTGTGGAGATCGCGCTGTTCTGCTACGACGCCTCCAAGGGCAAGACTGACGCCAACGGACCAATAGCACAGATCTTCATATACAATCCACACAAGAGACATCAAGCATGGCGGTTCCTGACCTACATGTTGGTGCATGTTGGGTGAGTGTTTTTTTTTATAGATGAATAGCGATTTATTTTTTAATACCTTATAAATATTTCCCTAAATCTTAGTAATATTATAAACACTATAGCTGAGAGTATGGATGGACATTTGTTACTATTTCATGCAAAAACTGCTGAACGGATTTTGATGAAACTTGAAAGTATTATAGCTTATACATCGGAATAGGCAACCAGATAGGCTGTAATTTAAACAGGATATTATGTATATTAAGCGAAATATAATGATAAGTGTAATGCAGAAGAAATTGCGCGGGTCAGCTAGTATTAGATAATTAAATAAATAAATAATAACCCTGGACAATTAATACAGCGCCATAGCCCCACGGTAAACAGATCTTGTGTTGAGTACTATAGACAACTGAAATAAATACTTAGATTTATTACTATATATATTGATTTATGATTTCTTTTTTGTAAATACATACACAACACCCGGACTGATACAAACAACCATACTCATGAACACAAATGTGTGTGCCGTGCGAGGAATCGAACTCGCGAACATCGGAAGTAATGTGTGCTAAACCGCTAGACCATAGAGGCCGTCGTATATAAATCAACATGTCGTTACATTCCAGAGTGGTACATCTACTAGTCAATTTGCTGGTGCAACTGTTCCTCGGGGTCCCTCTCGAGATGGTGCACCGATGGTGGCGCGTGACACTGGTGTATTTGGCGGGGGTAGCGGCAGGCTCCCTGGCGACCAGTCTCACAGATCCCCACGTGTATTTGGCGGGTGCATCAGGCGGGGTGTATGCATTGATTGCGGCGCATATAGCTACTATCATTATGGTAACTATTGAATAATAATAATAATAGTCATACACAATTCACACAACGCATTGTATGTATTATGCTTAGCTTGTAAGCAGATTTTGTGGTATTAAATAACTGATAGTAATATAATTTTTTTTATTAATTAGTTTTTTTGTAAATATATACATAATATACATAGAAAATACCCATAATAATATAAACATTTATACTAATGATTGTAAAGATTTTCATCGTGCGAGGAATCGAACCTGCGGTCATCAGAAGTAAGGCCATGAAATAATAAGTATCCGACTCCATTTATTGATTGATTAATAAAGCGAGTCATAAAAAAACAATATCATAAAAAAAAAAGCCAATTATGGCACTAGTTTTTAAGTTAGGCATTACATTGTATAAAATAGAGTCGCTGTCGCTGTCTGTCCGTCCCTATGTATGCTTAAATCTTTAAAACTACGCAGCGGATTTTGAACTGTTTTTTTAATAGATACAGTGATTCAAGAGGGAGGTTTATATGTAAAATACATGTAGACCCAGGCGAAGCCGGGTCGAGTAGCTAGTAAGTTATAAATGCTGTAAATACTCCAATTAAATGTAATTATCCCTAACTTACTATATGCATATGAATATAAATACGGTACATATACAAAAATATTTTTTTTATAATTTTTGTCTGTCTGTCTGTTGTTCCGGCTAATCTCTGAAATGGCTGTACCGATTTTGACGGGACTTTTTTGGCAGGTAGCAGATGTACTAAGGAGTAACTTAGGCTACTTTTATTTTAGCAAAATTCCTTTATTTTAGAAAAATCAAATAAAATTCCACGCGGACGAAGTCGCGGGAACAGCTAGTTATAAATAAATTTATAAAAATCCTATATATGGCATCAGTTCTTATGTTAGATTAAAATTATCTATTACACCTGCCCAGAAGACTTAAGTCCCGGTACACAGGAGTCGTTTGGTGTGGCAAAGGGAATCGCCCCGGGCACCCAATCATCCCCTAGCAAGGTGCGGACTAGTGTCTATTTGCAAGTTACGAGCCTGGTCTCTCAACGCTTGTTCCTTACAATGACCCTGGAACCCAATCATCCCCTAGGAGCCTGGTCTCTCAAGCTTGTGCAGAGGTGCTAGTGTCTATTTCAAGTTCTGTCTCTCTGTGGAACCCAATCACCCCCTTGCAAGTTACGAGCCTGGTCTCTCAACACTTGTTCCTTACAATGACCCTGGAACCCAATCACCCCCTAGGAAGGTGCAGACTATTCTCTGTCTGCGAGTTACAAGCGAGGTTACTCAATGCTTGTTCCTCACAATTCCAGAACTGGAAAGAGATGGAGTTCGCCGTGGTTCAGCTCCTGGTGTTCCTTCTTCTGGCCGGCGTGGACGTCGGCACCGCCGTCTACGACCGGTACTGGAGGAATATGAACCAGAATATTGGTTACGTTGCTCATTTGGCTGGCGCAGTAGCTGGTAAGTGTAAAAACACCATTCACCATTTTTCTTTATCGGAAGGTGAACAAAAGTTGTGGCTCACCTAATTTTGACGTTTTTATTTTGAAGGGTTAATAGGTATAGCAGTATGAAAGAGAGGCCAAACATTGATTTTTGTTTCTTATATTTCCAGGTCTGTTAGTAGGCATTGGAGTGCTTCGTAACCTGGAGAAGAGGAAATGGGAGAAACGGTTATGGTGGGCAGCGGTGGTGCTGTATGTCTCGCTGATGATTGCGGGCATCCTCGCCAACATCTTCTGGACCTCGAGGTTTCCTTAATGCGATATTTTGTAGGCTATAGGACGCTTGAACAACGCATATTTATGTATTATTTATTATAGTTATAAATAGTTAATGACAGTTAGGAATATGGATACGATTGTGAAACGTTTTGTTCAAATGTCACGTGATTTAAGATGGAAGGTCAGATTATTTTTTAAAACTATGTTCGTTTCTGCACGGTATCTCATTCATACAGTTATATGTGAAAGAGTTAGTAATTGTATGTGTACAGGAATTTAAAGAACTTACTATTTTTTTAAATAAGAATAGATCATAAATATTATTGAGAATAATCGGGGGAAACATGTTGGAGCACTTGTTACGACACGACGAACTTATTAATGTTATAGAAGGAAAAATAAATGGAAATAGAGGAAGGGGAAGACCGAGACACGGCTATATAAAACAGGTTAAGGAAAAAGTTGGAGTCGTGTCGTATCAACAAATAAAAAGATTGATAGAAGATCGTGGAAGGTGGCGAGAGCTCCACCGACAACAGCTAAGCTCTTAAATTACGAATGAACTATTTTGTCATCTTTCGCGACAATTGGTTATACTTCAACCGGAAGTGATACTTGCAAGATGAGTCCACACTCATCTGGACTGGAAGTCGAAAACATTGACAAATTCAATTGAAAAATTTGAAAAGAATCTAGAAATGCTTGTATCAAAATTTATTCTTGGTCTCTAATAATATAAGCTGACACAAATATTGGATGTGAATAAGAATAATTTCCATATACTGTCAAGGTCATCCACCAGAGTGGTGAATTTACAATAAAAATATAGGATGGTTTCTATACAGAACCTTATGGAGGTCGACCTTTGTACAGATATTTTTGATATGTTAAGATGAAGACAATATGGGTATTTTAATAGCATACATGACATCAATAAATTTATATACTCTCTTAAAATATTGAATGGTCAATAGCACATACACGGATAGTATAATAGACGCATTACTATGTATTTCAACTGGCAACTATTTTTAAGGTTTTATGTTTTATTCTTATAATTCCAATTAAACATTAAGTAAACCGTCCATAAAGTTAATCGAGGAACGGTGTCTGCGTATTATAATTATTGTGTCGATGTGAACAATGACAATCCCATCGTAAACTTTTATTTTAATAAGAGTGTTTTATTCTAGTAGTTTTTCCATTCGTCGTTAGCTGGATGCGTTTTCTTACCATAGTTAAAAATTACTCTTTCTACGGTAGAAAAAAAAACATTTATTGCAAATACAGTGCCAATTACAGATCTTAAAATTACATTAATAACTAGTTATCACTGCAATTGAAATATATTTTAAAATGAAGACGAATTTGATTAAAGTATTTCCAATCTTTAAGATTTATATTGCCGCGAAACTGGAACTGTCAGATACTCCATACATAATTGTAAAAGCTGCAATTGCAATCAGTTTTCAATTATGAAACTATTGGAACATTATATTATACAGCTCTAGAGTTAATTTGGATATAACAATTTGCATTTTTATTAAATAGGTTATATACGTTTTTAATTAAACATAACAAGTATGTTACGCTGAATAGAGTGTTTATTTTTGAGTTTGTATGTGGAGGGCAATCTCCGGAACCAATGCATCCATTTGAAATACTATCATCAATTAAAAGGTGCATTATTCCAGATGGAGATGGGTTATATTTTATATATTTCTATACCCTTGAAGTCATGACTGGCCACTAGTTTAAAACAAATACTATGAAGTGATGCCATAGAACTTCGTCTATAGAGTACCATTAGTGCCTATATATGTGTAAGATTTTTATAATATAATAGAATTATTGTGTGCCTTGTATGAAGAAACAATTTAAATGTATTAAGGTAATGTTTAAAACGATATATAGGGTCCATTTTATATAATTGATAAAATCAATTCTTATTTAATGTCTGAGAGCTCAATGAAGTCATATACAAATTTCATATAACCATAATAACATCCTCCATACCCATTTTAATTATTAGATTATATTCACTTTAATAATAAAATGCATAAATAATTTTTATAGCTAACCTTTTGGATTAAAAATCCGTTTCCCAAATTCCCCTAATATCTTAAAATGAAAAGAAAGTGTTAATGCAGTTTATTATTGGAGGATTGATATATTCTGTAAAGCACAAATTCTATAATTGTTAATATTTTCAGAGTCATTCGTATTTCATCATACATATAAATATGAACAGAACCATAGACAATGACCCTCGTGTGCTTTAAACATAGAAGTCATTACTGGCTTTACTTTATCATCATTTATATCATTTTTGTGGCTTCAGAATTTAAGATACCATTTTACTACCTATGGTCACGGATTCGATCGTACAAGACTATCTTTTGCCTTTTTTTATAGTCAAGTAATTCTATCAGTGGTCTAGTACCTGTACAAGCTCTGCTTAGTCTATGACTATGAAGTAGACGCTGTGTTAATTAGTTTTTTTTTTAATTTATCTCTTAATGCAGTTATTATTTATGAATGAATTTACGTTACTATGCAATTACAACCTTGTGTTGAATGTCCAAGATGTTTTACGGGACTTAATACGTATGGCTCTGAATATTATAGATGTACATTTTTGATAAGGTTTTATTATGTTAGCATATCTGGCTAACAGACTGATATTGTATTCTCCGTAATAAGGTTCGCCTGAGTAACTCTTAAGCCATAGGATTAACCAAATATTTAATGTAATTTGGTTTATTTTTTACATTTTTCCACCTACTTGTTTGTTGTTAGTGGTGTAGTAAATTCTTCTGTGATAATTGTCTCGTTCGCTTTCCTGTATGTTGTTTTATGTAATCTTAAAGTAAAAAGATTTATAGGTTATTTGTTTATATTTTAATAATTACATAGTTTAAAACAAAGTCGCGGTCGCTGTCTGTCCGTCCCTATGTATGCTTAAATCTTTAAAGCTACGCAACGTATTATTTAATAGATATTGATTCTAGAAGGTTTATATATATAATACATGTACAGCTAGGCGAAGCCGGAGCAAGTAGCTAGTAACTATTAAAAGTTAGTTAATTTAATAGATTAACTTCGTTGTAATATGAGATTACTCATAGAGAGAAACTCTACAAGATTGAGAACTGTTTGTACAAAAAGTGTATTACTTATATATATTCATTCCACAAATATCTTTAAAATCGTAACTGTGCAGAAGAAAATTTGAAAAGAATATTGTTTTAGGTATAATGTTCATATTGTAACAGGTTCCGGCGTAAAGACAGATATAGTGCAGAAATATGTGCAATGTATATACACTGTTATTTATATGTTGTATTGTGTATACTATATGCAGAGTTTACTATATGTTACAATACCTATGAAAATATGTATATATGTATACCCGCATATATAATTTCGTATAATTTTAACACTATCACTGTTCATTTTGAACAACGAGGTTTTCAGTTTTCTACAGAGTACCTTGTTATAATTATTAATTTGTAATAATGATTATAAAATACATTCGACTTGAATATAAACAAATAATCTATGGGTTTTTATTGTATTATTTAATTAGTTTTATTTTACTCTAGCATAATATTTATCTTTGATGTATTTAGATGATATAGAAGAAATAAAACACATTCAATTAAATCCTAACCAAATATAAGTTGTGCCTGAAAATTTTGTTTTGCCATTGACTTGTCATTGTCTAAATATACATTAATAAATAGAATTTGTATTTAAATTGTTAATAATGAAATCTATATTATTGCAGTTCTTTTTCTTTAATTGTTTATTGATACATATATTGTTGGAAGTATTTTAAAAAATATCGTTTAGGAATACTTTACATAAATGTAATGATTTATTAATTAGAATCATTTTTACATAAAAACCGATAAACAATGAATTACTTGTAATACGATATGAAAAGAAAGTAATGTATTGTAATGCATTTTATAGTTATATAAAAAAAACTCTTCTGTACTGAAGATAAAGTTGAGTTTGCTCAGACAAACCTAAACATAAGATATAAGTGTTCTCTTATTTTAGAAATATTGAACATTAAGAATTGAGCCTATAATGTGTGATGTATAGCTTTTTATTTAAAGAGTCGCCTGAAAGAATAGTGTAATATCCTGACCTATACTAGCTTATATAATTATGTATTTCCTGTTGAAATACATAATATATTTTAACCTCCTTCTAAGTTATTTGTAAAGTTTTTAGTGAAGAATTTTCACTAAAATTTAAACACATTCACAAATATTTAGAAAAATATTGCATATGCAAAGATATTTTAGTCAATAATCCTGACATACATATATAATATTGATTAAAATATAGACGGCAGAATTAAAAACGACTACGATTTTCAATTTTGTGTAAATCTGTATACCAAAAACATAAAAGTGCCTTGTAATATTTACACAGGCAACACATGTGTTCATTTCAGATAATATTAAGTTATTAATCTATGTTCTTATATGAATATAATTTTATGTGGTGGGTAAATTTATATCAATATTGTTGTTTTTCTACAGATGTGTACCTTTCTAAATTATTTGAAGTCTAGGCTCTAGATTAAGTTCTTCTGTTATGTTAAATGTTATCGCATAATCATATGAATTATAGAATGAGCTTAAATAAAAACCTATTATTTTGTATACATTGTTTTATTACTGTATTTCGATTAGAAATAAGCTATTAATTATTAGAAGCACGCAAGCAACTGATCTCTTACATGGTGAAATAAAATAATTACATATCACATCTACCAATGTGTTCTATATATCTATCTATAGTTCGTCACTACAGCTTACATCTATACATATCTCATATAAATAAAATTTGAGTGTCTGTTTGTAATATTGTAATAACCGTTTTATAAATACGGTACATACATCAAAATAACATTTTTTACAATTTTTGTCTATCTGTCTGTTTGTTCCGGCTAATCTCTGAAATGGTGGCAGGTAACTGATAAAGTAAGGAGTAACGTAGGCTACTTTTATTTTAGAAAAATAAAGTTAAATTCCACGCGGACGAAGTCGCAGGTACAGCTAGTATAGTAACTATAACACCCCTTTTACCTGTAAAGTGTTTCACTTAGCATAGTATATAAATAAACGGATATAGTCTCTAGGTATGGGTATGTAAGTAAATAATGGTAAGAGTTACAAAATATCTCTCATAGTATTAAACACGAGATTTAAGAAATGGAACGAGAAAAATAACAAATTTTAGAAGCTGGCAACATTGGTAAATCACTCTTTCTGTCATTTACAGACATCAGTCATATCAACCAATCTGTCTAATCTGTGAATCTCATACGTCAATTTGTTATTGCTATGTGTCACTTTTCGCTTGAATAACATTTTCCTTTACCTACGTACGTACATAAAAAAATAAACCAGCCAACAATCAAATAGGAAAATTTTATTTCACAGTGCTTATAAAACAGACTCTAACGTATAGTTTACTTACAATGTTTACAGTGATAAAACGTGTTTACAATAAATAACCCTGAAACTGGGAAGTAATAGTCGCCGCGGGCAGTGTACAAAAGCAACTCGTTAAAATGGGTTCTCTACAGTACGCGTGCACTTTCGTAATATTGACATTATTTATTAGTGGATGTATGCCACGCTCTATAGAAGAAGACGAGCCATTCTTAGTGAAGCCAAAGTATACTAGTTATAAAGAACTAAATGCATTGTTGGATGGTATAGCGCAAAATTATCCGGATCTCGCTAAGAGTTATTCAATCGGTGAGTCAGTGGCTGGCAGGCAGTTGCTGGTACTGGAAATCACTCAGGATGTTAAGAACGTGCACCCAGGGCGCCCGGCGTTCAAGTATGTAGCAAATATGCATGGTGATGAGTCTTTAGGAAGGCAGTTGGTGATTTACTTAACCCAGTATCTTCTCGGCAACTATGGGAAAGATGAAAGAGTGACTAGACTCGTAAATACTACGGATATACATTTAATGCCGTCTTTGAATCCTGATGGATTTGCTGAAAGTAAGGTAGGTTGAATAATTTGAAGTATTTTTCTATGTATAATGTTCAGAGACAAAACCTACTGATAGTAATAGGTGTTTATTTAAGTGTTTGTAACATTATGATTATTACATTTCATTGAAATTGTTATATGTATAGCATAATTGCATACTATTTCATTAGGAATCTAAATATGTAGTTGTGGCCCCACATTTTTTAAACTACCCTCATTTCATGCGAGAATTCAATCATTGAAGTTAACAGATGTTAATGTAATATACATTTCCACCTTATACCAGATTCCTCTGTATCGAATCGGAACCAATGAATTTAAATATAAATAAATTAATAAAAAAAAATTTTTGATTGAGGTAGGCAGAGATATTATCAAATGTATAGCTTATGATGAATGCAACACATGACATTTCTACATTTTGTTATATACAAATCCAATGAGCCTACTACTGTATCTCACAATAATTGTTGGTTTTTATTAATGTCTCTATCATCGAAGAGTCAGTCAGAAACAAATCAACATTTAACATGTTGAACACCACATGCCACATCACCACTGGTGGATCACTCACCACTGGTGGATCACTCACCACATGCTCACAGGTGGGCACACAACATGTTTACCTGGGCATTGCTTGTACACCTGTGGGCATGATTTAAATTTCAATTGATGTACAATAGTTCATTCACTGGCCCTCCAAGAGATACTGCATACTATGGACTTAGTTAATTTTGACATAGCCTCACATAATTAACAATAAAAAAGATGCCAGTTCCTATGTGAGAAATAAGATTTTTCAAATTCAGCATGTCAATATTTTGTGTCAATCGGAATAAAAGTTAGGACCTTAAATAATAGTCACATTACTTTACTATTAATAAAATAACATAGTTGATGAAGTGTATGAAGTTTAACAGGTTTATCCCATAACAAATTGTGGAATCTGTAATGGAAGTATACATGTAAAAATATTAATTCAGGTAGGACATTCTTACACCTAGTTTTGTTTTGTCACTGATGAAGGAAGCAAAAACTGCAACTCAATATGCAATGCAAAATATTCCACATAAAATTAGAAATATATGAGCAAATTTCCTTTTTATTTTCACTCTTTAATTTCTTTATTAGATAGTTGGTACTAAAAAAGTATACATTGGAGGAATCTATACATATAAATAAATATATAATATGAAATAATACTTAATAAGCTTAGCCTTTTTTTTTTCACATCAGGAAAATCCATCATGTAGAACCATTCCCTTAGGGAAGAATGAATACGCTTAGCTTAGGTTAAGCAGAAAGAAGTATTCTTTTTTTCTTTCTCTGACTCAAGTTGGGAGTTAACAAATTAAAAAATCAAACTAGTTTGCAAGACAGTTATGAAGTGAGATCACAAGCTTAATATTCTGAACTACCTGTCAGTTGATTAATACACTCAACCACTTTTTTAGGGTTGATAATGGATTGGTGCCATTGCTTCCGCTAACTGTATATGCTGGGGGGGCACCAGTGGAGGATGATAAGATGACTATGAAGTTAGGTCAATTAGTCCATCAAAATAAATTCACCAGGAATTTAACATGATGGTTTCCAGAGGGGTTCCCTCTGGAAACCATCATGTTAAATTCAATGTGGAGGTCAACCTGGTACATTATTAGCAATTAGGGTATTAAAAAGGGTTATCAATCCACATTATTAACAATCCCCTTCTCTCACTTTATAGGGGGTCCAATATCCCAGCCCTAAGGATGATGGATTGTTAGTAATGTCGACTGATGTACCCTTAGCTAACAAAGTACCATGTCACATGAAGCTCCAAGCGATTCCTACTGGAAATATTTGTGATCAATTGCTAGTGAATTTGACGTGATATGTTAACTGACATGACCTCATCCTCATCTTATCATGGTGCCCTGCCCGCATACACAGTCAGTGCAGGCAAGAGCTCCGTTCCATTATCATAAAAAAATAACTCAGTCCATCTGCATTGTGATTGAGTCAAAAGTACTTACTATGAAACTTACTATCCAGACAAAATTAATAAGATCTAAAATAGTAGTAAATAAAGTCTTTAAAATCAAGAAAGTGTGTAAATTGAATTGTTAAGTATTGGTGATATTAAAAACACCTTTTTTTTTTTTGTGATTATGTGAACATTGCAATATTTTTCTATGGATGATAATGGAATTAGCACCCGCCTGTACTACCGCTTTACGCTGGACGGGTACCAGTGAAGATTAATAACCTGAGCATAAAGTCAGGTCAGTTAGCCCAACTTGGCAAATGGCAATTTACCACAAGTGGATACCGCCTGCAAGTCAACCTGTCATAGTACTTGTACATTGCTAGCAGTTATGTTATTAGTGCACATTACATTACTAACAATTCCCTGCCCCATTGTAATTTGTTAGTGAACATAAAACCATCTGAATCTCTTTGAAGTCTTGAAAATTTGACATTGGGACGAATTTTTCGAAAATGTTTGAACAATAGTACTGTATAAAAGATGAATTTTAAAAGAAGTATAAACACATTTTCATGTGGTGCCAAACAAACAGACATAGTAATTGTTTACTGTTCTATATGCGCATACAGTAATTCTTGTATTGAGTTATATAATTGAAGGTCGGTCAAGTGTAACTTTCTAGTTTTCGTATATATTATTTCCTATACAAGTTTACATGATTTGTTTATATGTTGGTCTCCACGACTCCATTTTGAATCTGATTGTTATTAGACAATTGATATAAATGTTACTACTATTATAAACGCGAAAGTATGTGACTATGGATGTATGGATGTTTGTCACTTTTTCATTACATGATATATTATCATTATTAATTTTTGTTATGTTTGTTTCCACGACTCCATTTTGAATTTGATTGATATTAGGCAACTGATATAAATGGTACTACTATTATAAACGTGAAAGTTTGTGTGTATCGATGGATGTTTGTAACTCTTTCACGTAAAAACTACTGAACGGATTCTGATGAAACTTTACAATAATATCGCTTATACATCAGAATAACACATAGGCTGTAATTTAAAAGGATATTATGAATATTGTGCGAAATATAATGATAAACAAGTAATTGTGATGCAGACGAAGTTGCGTGGGTCAACTAGTACATATTTTTTGTTGTATGTACATATAGTATTACTCATGAATACAGATGTTTGAACCGTGCGAGGAATCGAACCCGCTACCATCGGAAGGCGATGTCTTAAACCGCTAAACCACCGAGGCTCTCATATAAGTATAGACTCCAATGTGACAATAATACAATAAAGCGAGTCCTGAATTAACTCAATTATAGCTTTATTTATATTATTAACCGGGCCTTAACACCTTTATTTTAGAAAAAATATTTTATTTTAGAAAAATAAAGTTTAATTCCATGCGGACGAAGTCGCGGGAACAGCTAGTCTTATATAAAGCTGCAATCGTCGCCTATACACTTGACACGACATTTATGCTTGCCAATTTAGTCTCCGGGATTAAAAAACAGCTTAAAGATAGTTACTTTTTAATCTAAATTGAATTTCTCATATATCAAAGCAGCAATATCATTTCAATCGAATAATTAAACTTCAAGTGCTTTCTATAAAATAATATGCGTGCGTGAAACATTTCTTGATTGGAATTTCTATTCATTGAGTGAAACGAATTGTTAATTTCTATCAATAAAATTATGATGGTTAAACACTGTCTATGTAGGTACATAATATTATATCATATCATCTGCTGTCGGCGTATTATGTTTTTCTCTTCCATTCATCCCTGATCGCAGTCATCTCGTTATTTACTCCCTTTCTTACCATATCATCTTTCACTTTTCTTCTTTCAGTCCATCCATCTCTTTTTCGGTCTTCCTTAAAATATTATCTTCATACGCATTACATGTCCATACCACGATAGACGATTACTCTTTAATCATTGGGTCACACCACACAAATTTTATAAGCATAAGGGCAAAATTTACAAGAACATGACTCGGCCTTCTATTTTGTATGGATCAGAGTACTGGCCCGTAAAGGCGACGGATGAGAGACGACTCCATGCAACTGAAATGCGTATATTGAGATGGATGTGTGGTGTGACTCGTATAGGATAAGGTTTTACTAATTGCCGAAAGAGTTTACGAACTGTTTTCTATAAAAATACATAGAACATTAACGTTATTAGTTATCAGAATAATATGTGTTTCATTTACGATTTTGTTATACAAATAAACTTCTATACACAAAATTACAGTAGCGCCAACATTACATATGTTATACAAACAAATAAAATTGATGTGTTTATTTGTAATTTCAAAGTAACTTCTGAATGCATATAAAAAAATTATTTTAAAAGTTTTGTCTGTCTGATTGTATATATTGCTAACCTCTGAAACCTCTAGATCGATCTTGACGGAACGTCCACTCGCTTGGTAATGTGATAAGGTGTAACTTAGGCTACTTTTATTTTACAAATAATATTTATTTGATTAAAAAAACGTTATCCGCACCGAGGAACAGTTAACGCGGTGGTAACAGACAGTGTTTAACAGTTAGTTCTTTCTGTAATAAACAAAGAGTCATCATCACTGCAGTATTGTTTTCGTAAAACATTGTTCGTTTTAAAAAAATCCACACTAATTTACACAAAATTATTTAAAATGTAATAAACATAACAATAATTCTACGAGTTTTTTCGTTGTTAATAAAATAATGCTATACTTTAATAAAAACAGCTAATAACTTAAAGTTTGTACTTGGTACAAAATACACATACAGCCTCAAGAAACACTTTTTGATGATTCCCATCTACCTTCGGGCTAAGGTCATATACACTACTAATATATACCTTCTAATCGACCATCTCCTTGGCTATGTTAAGAGAATATAAACAGTTTTGTTATTGAAATTATGTACTGCGACATTATACTGGTAGCGCTATTCGGAGAAGTTGAAAAGTAATCATCTGTTATAGTATGGGCATGTAATGCGTAGGGATGAAGAGAA